ATGATATATTGAAAACAATTGCATCACCACATTTTGACGATGATGTGGTTTATTGCAATGAAAGTATGGATGATGTTTTATTCCAGATGAATACGAAAACCCCAAATGACGAAGATAAAAAAGAGGCCAGCAAGATTAGAATGAGCGTCCACAAAGTTGCCACCTACCACAAGATACCAATCTGGTGGTTTATTCTCCAGAGAATCCTTGAAGCCTTGGCAGAAAAATTGAACAGAAAGGTCCTCACCAAAGAAGAATGTGTCCACGTCTCAAACGTTCTGGGGTTTACTGAAGGAGAGCTTGAAGCTGCACTATCCTTTCTTGACAAACTGAACATTTTTCTGTACAAGAAAATGATTCTCCCTGATTTAATATTCACTGATGCTCAGGTGCCTTTGGATAAGTTGTCGGCTCTTGTTGAAAAACAGTATTGCTTGAAAGTGGCCGAGAAAGCCCCAGCAAAAGCTATGGATGTAGCAACAAGTGGCTGCAAGGCATTTAGAGACAAAGGAATTGTCACTGTTGAGTTTCTGAAAGAGTTTAAAAAGCACTATGCGAATGGAATATTCACCGCAAACCACTTTATAACTCTACTTGAAAAGCTGCTCATTGTTTCAAAATTGTCAAAAACCAAATACTTTTTTCCAGCAATTCTGAATTGCACCAGAGAATCTCAAATAATAGATAGTCTCACCGCCTCAGATATATCGCCACTGGTGGTGTGGTTCCCCACAGGCTGGGCTCCTCCTGGTGTCTTCTGCTGCAGTGTGTGCCACCTTCAGACACAGGCTGGCTGGGAAATCAAAAAGCCAACAAAACGTGACACCGAAGCATCAGAAGAAACACCAGTCAACTATATCTCACGTAATTCTATCACGTTCACAAAGCGTGGCAAGCTTGGCTCAGTGACATTAATCGACAACTTCTCATTCTTTGCCGTCTGTGTAAACGTTGATATCAGAAAGATAAGTGGTGAAAAGTTAGTCAGACACTGCAAGGCTATCAAGTCTGAGGTGTTTGATGCAGTCAAAGCAGGTCTACGCAACACTCACCATGCAGACACTTCCCCAGAGCCTGCATTTGTCTGCCCAGCTCACCAGAATGTAATTAGTAGCATAGAGCTACATGTGGCCCACATCTCGACAGACACAAATTGCTTGATATGTGATGAGGATACAGATATATCTTATGATCTCTCTCCACGTCAGACTGTGTGGCTTGGTGGACCAGGTAACCCAGTGTGTTTTGTACATGTGAAGATTCTTATATAACTATCGTGTTTGCAGGACCAGAGGTACCGCAACCCCAACTAGTAGTTATTCAGGATCGTACCCAAAAGGCAGACATTGGTCAGTTCAATCTCCATTTTCCACTGTCACTCAACCTGACAGGATACTTTCATAACTCGTATTGAAAGCAGTCCTTTGCTCCTCTTATACTAAACCTAAACCTAAAACTGTTCTCTTATAGGTGAAGCCAGTCTGTCATTCGTTCCAGTTGAAACATCAGAGAGGCAGGAGTCTGACACAATAAGTAATACAAAGAGCAGTGGCAAAGTTTCAGGTGCCACTAACATTAAATTTGATCCTGCATTTTTTATCACTCGAAATTTGTAGCGTATTGTAGCCAGGATACACCTTTGTGTCATTGCAGGAAATGTTGCCATGGGAGACCTGATAAAGCTATCAACTTCTAAAGGGCGATGCATAAGGATCTTGGAAAGAAGTGCAATGAAATACCGAGACATTGGAACCATCCTTCTGAAAAGATGACACTGGGGCAATAGTCACGAGTATACAACAAACGGCACTAGGTAATCCAGTTGAGGCTGTCAGGATGATATATGAAAGATGGATACAAGAAAATGAGGACCACTCATGGAAGAAACTGGCCCTGTGTTTCGGAGATGTTCAACTGAACCCTCTTGCCAGAGATATCGAGCAACACTTTGGATTTCCTTCACCTTCTGATCGAGGTATTCTTGGTTGCTCTCATGCAACCTTGTGGGATGTGTGTTGTGTGTGGTAGATGATGTATAGGTTAGAGCTTGACCGAGTACTGAGAACATGTACAAGGTTTCTGAATGCAGGGTGTATAATATGTTGTGACCTGCACTGCACATACCGTCATGTTATACGTAAACACGGCAAAAAAATTTGAAATGCTTGCTTCGCTCACCAAGAATGCCTTGCATGGTGATAAATAATGTTTAACTGTATATACTCTTTAAATACACACACATGCTCTAGTGACACAGGTGATGGACGTACCAGAGAGAGATACCTCTCAAGACCAACAGTTCTCCAAAGAAAAAGATGTGCCGGCAATGTCTCTAGCCAACCCACAGGACGCACTCATTCATCAAAACAGAGACACAGAGCATCAAGCGATGGTAGGAACTACAGTGTTGATTTACAGCACAATTAATATATCACTTGTTTCCCAACTATGTAGGTCTCAAGGCCAGAACAATTGGAAGTCAACGAGACTGTCACTCCAATGGATACAGCAGGTATATGGAAATACAATTCCAGAGTATCAAAATTCAGTGTCGAATTTTTTCCTCAGCTTCCCACCACGAGCTAAGACAGGAATGAAACGAAAAAGGGAGGCAGAACCTTCAAATCCAAGAAAAGATCGGCAGATGAGTGATCAATGAAAAGGACACACTATTCAAGAGTCACAGAATCAGACTTGGTTTATTGCTGCCCTCACATGTCTGTCTTATTATCATCCAAGAACAAGAGCGTTCTTATTCTATTGTAAACATGAGTCTGACAGAATCAACATTATGCAAATCATCTGCACATGCTCAAACAAACACACATTAATGCATGTCCAGTCTCATCAAAGACCGAGAGAGGAGAGGGGAAACCCCTCCCCCACATGTTGTCCCAAGAGAGGGAGGAAGGAGAGTTTCTTGGAGTGGGTGGAGCTAGACTCAAGGTCGTAGGTCGCCGTGAGGTTGGTGAGGAGGGCAGGCTGGAGGGAGGAGGGAGGACTCCATCTCACCACTCCCTCCAACTCCCTGGTACACTGCGGGAAGGGAGAGGTGACGACACATTGATTGTTATGTTCATGTTCTGTGCAAGCTTCATGTCTATGACATTTTGGTGTGTGGACAGTCTATAAAGCTGAAGAAGGCTCATGGACTGAAACATTGTTTGGCTACTGAATGCTCAATTGTCAAATTGAATCTCCTCTCTCTCTTTACCACAAGTTGGTAGTGCCTTATTACTTGGACTCCAGTAACAACACCATTGTTATGTGCTACTATGTGAGACACTGACCTCCTGAAGGTATCCCTGGTAGAAGGTACACACTGCAATGTTGTTCTTCAGAGTCGTGTTGGTGGGCTCCAATTGGAGTGCACTCTCGAAAGCATCCTTTGCCAGTTGCCAGTGACACAGAAACACGTTCACCAGTCCTCCGTTTGGCATCCCTATATACATTCCTCAGTTTTTAAATTCGAAGATCAAAGAGCTAGGAGTGGGAGGTTGAAGAAGAGGTAGTAGGTATATACCTGAAACTGTAGCCCTCTCTGGTCCTTGTTATCCATCAGAACTCTGAATTCCTGCTCTGTGATCCTCAGCATGATCATCCCTAGTATCTCCATGGACTGGAGGCCTCCGTCCCTCCCAGCCACCAGACTCAGTCGCTCCGTCACCTGCAGATGGACACTGACACACACACAAGGAAGGAGGGAGATGTAAGTTTAGAGCAAGGAAAAGAGGAAAAGTTTGAGCAAGATTATATATGTGACCCACTACGGGAAAAAGTACGTACATTTCAGCTAAAAAAACTCAGTTACGCATAATATCGTTCAAATGTGCAATGCACGATGAATACAACAATGAAAACCACACCTTTGTAGCTGCTTCTGTTCATGCGCTACATGCAAAAAAACATCTTTTCCAGGTATAGGAGACGGAAATGAAGAGAATCATGTGAGAAATATCATAAGCAGATAGAAATTTTTGCACATGTGGTGAAAATAATGCAACAAGAATAGAGAAAAGGGAGCTTGCACTGTAATGTATGAGGCATCAAAACGAGACTGGAAAGATAGTAGAAGGGAAATAGAGGCAAGATAGGGATTGTAACATCGTCTAAGGTGAGATAGGGGTCGGGAAAGCGAAATTAAGGTGACAAACACAGATACCTACAATGAAGAATAAGGAGAAGAGAGATAAGAAGCTAGTCAAGGAAGACAAATTGTATGAGAATTGACAATAAGGCCACTCCAAGTTGCATTCCGGTTTCTGGTCAGAGTCTTTTCAAATCAAGATGCAGGTGGGCGGGTTTACTCATTATGTCATTAGTACACTTAATAATATGACCACAAAAATTCATAGTGGGAAGACTGTCAAAACCAGGCAAATGCTACACACAAGCGCAGCATAGGTATGTATAGTGAATAATGACCAAAACTGCGCTCTCTTGAAATGGGTGCGGGCGGCGGACCAGAAACCGGCAAACAACTTGGAGTGGCCTAAGAGTAGTGGGGGAAGGAGCAAACAGTGTCAGAGAGAGAGACGGACCACTCTAGAGACATTAGGAGTACTGGGGGAAGGAGCAAACAGTGTCAGAGAGAGAGACGGACCACTCTAGAGAAGAGACGCAGGGTCTCGAGGTCCTCCAGGATGTTGGAGGTCTTGGTGGTCACCAGCAACATGTACAGTCT